ACCAAATATACATATTGAATTCGTTCAATGAGGAAGGATTTGGAAATGTTTTGTAGATTTTTTGTAAAAAAATTTGCCGTTCCTCATTAAAAAGGGGGCAAAGTAAGGGGAAATATGTCTATGGGTTTGAAGACTTTTTCTTCCCAGTTCAGCGTAAACGGCATTGTAGTGGTACTAGGTCGAACACCCAAAGCAAATTTACAGGCTTTTAGATGAAGAGTTTCTAGTTTAGAACATTCTTCAAAACCCCATATTTCTGATGCATAATTTAGAATATATGCTATAAAGCGTTTCACTTTTCAAAATGCTGGAAAACGACCCTTTTTGGAAACTAGTTGTTATAAAGTTATGTTGTTGGTTTCACATTAATTTGATAGTGACTTTAGCCTTTCTGGCCATTGGGGGCGACTAGTGCAAGGGAAGGATCGAAAAGATACTTGACAAAAGAATCGTTTTGAAAATTCCTAGGCAGCACATAGGGAATATCAATAGGGCCTAATAGAAAAACAAAATCCAACAGTTCAGACTTATTGCAGTTTATGATCTCACTCTGCCACACCCATACTCGCCGAATAACCGAATATTCATTGAATTCTAAACCGAATAACCGAATAGGTATATCAGAAGGTTTTGACAGCCCTAACTGAGGCGGCTTTGAGGGACAGCATGGCATTTTCATGACCCTGAATACCGCATTTGCTCTTTATATTCGAAGAGAATGGAAAGTTATGTCGTCAAAATTTAAACTACACGTTTTCATAAGAACATTGGGCCTTAATTTCAGCCTGGTGTTTCTTATCTTTTCGAATAACTTTAGCCTCACGTGTTTTATTTTGTTTCTTGTTTTTGTAATCGCATTTCTTGTATATAGCAGTGTCCTCATAACATGTCTTGGGCCAGATGCTGGCCGCAAACTGACATTATATCGAAATAATTCTATGAACTTGTAATTCAAGAGGCTGATCAACTTCATTACAAAAATTTAAGAGACTTTTAAAATCAAAGTAAAGGGCCTTAGGCAGGGCTGTAAAAGAGGGGGGCTCAAGGGGGCTCAAGGGGGCTCAGCCCCCTTCTACTTATCATAAGGAGGCTGCGCTCCTTCTTCTTTTCTGGATAATTCTAAAATATTATGGCTACTTTCTGCCAGTATAAGATCTTTGATTGAACCGATACTACTTTTTGACATTTAGCTGATAACTGAAAACTCAATGAATACTGGCAAATATTCAAAGAATTCTTCTTTTTTAAGATTTTTCTACTTCAAGTAACAGGTAGAAATTGGGAGATGATTTAACACTAGAAAAAATGAAAAGGTAAAGAAATTGATATTGATGAGCCATGCAAACGAAATGAACAACCGAAGCGTTGATTTTGTATACAATATAGAGAAACTTTCCCTATCAGCCTTCACATTAGCCTGTGCCCCAGTCCACAAATCCTGCCGCATCTATGCACCTATGTGCTGCCTAGGAATTTTCAAAACGATTCTTTTGTCAAGTATCTGTTCGACCCTTCCCTTGCACTAGTCGCCTCTAATGGCCAGAAAGGCCAAAGTCACTATCAAATTAATGTGAAACCAACGACATAACTTTATAACAACTAGTTTCCAAAAAGGGTCGTTTTCCAGCATTTTGAAAAGTGAAACGCTTTATAGCATATATTTTAAATTATGCATCAGAAATATGGGGTTTTGAAGAATGTTCTAAGCTAGAAACTCTTAATCTAAAAGCCTGTAAATATGCTTTGGGTGTTCGACCTAGTACCACTACCAATGCCGTTTACGCTGAACTGGAAAGAAAAAGTCTTCAAACCCATAGACATATACTAAGTTTCTTCGCTCGAGTATCATCTCTAGATTCAAAACGTTACGCTAGCAAAGCTTTTGCAATGCTTATAAAAGGATGCAGACTATGGCCACTCTAACTGGGTATCTCATGCCTGCGACCTTAGGGTACGCTATGGAATACAGAAATCGGATAATCGTTCAGTTATTAAAACTAAGATTATAAGTTATTTCGAGTCAGAAGTACTGGGAAGAATGAATGAACACATAACTGAGAACAAAAAACTAAATTTATACGCCTCATTTAAAACAATTTACAAATTTGAGTCTTATCTTGATTACATACAAGATTTCACTGTTAAATGCATATTAGCAAAACTAAGAATCAGCGCTCACAATCTTCAAATTGAAACAGGGCGATTTAGTAAAATCAAAACTCCAAGAGATGAAAGGTTTTGTTCATATTGTAAGACTTTTTGGATATTTTCAAAGTTGAAGATGAAATACATTTCCTCTTACTTTGCCCCCTTTTTAATGAGTAACGGCAAATTTTTTTACAAAAAATCTACAAAACATTTCCAAATCCTTCCTCGTTGAACGAATTCAATATGTATATTTGGTTAATGAGCTAAGAAGATTATATACAACAAAGCTTTTAGGAAATTTCTGCAAAACGTCCTTTGAAAAAAGATCAAAATTTTTAAGCGTCCCCACAAGCATTTTAGATTAACAGCTAATAATTTTGTAACTTGGTAGCTTTTGCTGAAAATTTAGCTTTGTATTCGCCGTAGTTGTTTTGTTCTTGATGCATAGCTTAAACATGTAATTGTAAAATTGTAATTCACTGTAGTACTGTAAGCAGTTAAGGGCCATCTCGGCCTAAATACTTGAGTTGCAAAAAATTTTCCCAGGAAAACCCCCTGACCCCCACCCGCCAGCCACTCTCCACTCCCCCTGCCCCCTTTCAATCTTGCTTTATTGGCTTTGTTATCCCTAGGTTTGCAAAGGCCGGTATTCATGAACATTTCTCGATTCGATCAGTCAACACTATTCGATCAGTTATGGCTATTTGATCAGTCATTGCCATTCGATCAGTCATGGCTATTTGATCAGTCATTGCCATTCGATCAGTTATGACTATTTGATCAGTCATTGCCGTTCGATCAGTCATGGCTATTTGATCAGTCATTGCCATTCGATCAGTCATGGCTATTTGATCAGTCATTGCCATTCGATCAGTCATGGCTATTTGATCAGTCATTGCCATTCGATCAGTCATGGCTATTTGATCAGTCATTGCCATTCGATCAGTCATGGCTATTTGATCAGTCATTGCCATTCGATCAGTCATGGCTATTTGATCAGTCATTGCCATTCGATCAGTCATGGCTATTTGATCAGTCATTGCCATTCGATCAGTCATGGCTATTTGATCAGTCATTGCCATTCGATCAGTCATGGCTATTTGATCAGTCATTGCCATTCGATCAGTCATGGCTATTTGATCAGTCATTGCCATTCGATCAGTCATGGCTATTTGATCAGTCATTGCCATTCGATCAGTCATGGCTATTTGATCAGTCATTGCCATTCGATCAGTCATGGCTATTTGATCAGTCATTGCCATTCGATCAGTCATGGCTATTTGATCAGTCATTGCCATTCGATCAGTCATGGCTATTTGATCAGTCATTGCCATTCGATCAGTCATGGCTATTTGATCAGTCATTGCCATTCGATCAGTCATGGCTATTTCATCAGTCATGGCTATTTGATCAGTCATGGCTATTTGATCAGTCATTGCTATTTGATCAGTCATTGCCATTCGATCAGTCATGGCTATTTGATCAGTCATTGCCATTCGATCAGTCATGGCTATTTGATCAGTCATGGCTATTTGATCAGTCATGGCTATTTGATCAGTCATTGCTATTTGATCAGTCATCATTCGATCAGTCATGGCTATTTGATCAGTCATGGCTATTTGATCAGTCATGGCTATTTGATCAGTCATGGCTATTTGATCAGTCATTGCTATTTGATCAGTCATTGCCATTCGATCAGTCATGGCTATTTGATCAGTCATTGCCATTCGATCAGTCATGGCTATTTGATCAGTCATTGCCATTCGATCAGTCATGGCTATTTGATCAGTCATTGCCATTCGATCAGTATGGCTATTTGATCAGTCATTGCCATTCGATCAGTCATGGCTATTTGATCAGTCATTGCCATTCGATCAGTCATGGCTATTTGATCAGTCATTGCCATTCGATCAGTATTATTTGATCAGTCATTGCCATTCGATCAGTCATGGCTATTTGATCAGTCATTGCCATTCGATCAGTCATGGCTATTTGATCAGTCATTGCCATTCGATCAGTCATGGCTATTTGATCAGTCATTGCCATTCGATCAGTCATGGCTATTTGATCAGTCATGGCTATTTGATCAGTCATGGCTATTTGATCAGTTATGGCTATTTGATCAGTCATGGCTATTTGATCAGTCATGGCTATTTGATCAGTTATGGCTATTTGATCAGTCATGGCTATTTGATCAGTTATGGCTATTTCATCAGTCATGGCTATTTGATCAGTCATGGCTTTTTGATCAGTTATGACTATTCGATCAGTCATGGCTATTTGATCAGTCATTGCCGTTCGTTTGAACAACCGTTGTTTGAGATTATTCGCACTATACGCTTGTAACCGAATATTCGCTTTGGGCTTCAGCTAACCGAATAGTTAAACAGGTAACCGAATACCGATTATTCGACCTTCGGCGGATAGCCCTAGTCTCAGTAAACATCAGACAGTAGATTGTTTGAGCTGTCTCTTTAAAAAGTGATATATGGTTTTGAAAGTGCCTAGCTGCTTGAATGCCTGTAGCCGTCTATGCATGCCAATTTTCATTTTCAATTTTCATTAGCTGGAGTTTTGGTATTTCTTGAAATCTAACCAACTGTATTGCGCTATGTGTGTTTTGGTCTCAGAGATGAAGTATTTACGCAAAGACCTTTCGTACAAGGAATGAAACTGTTAAATTGGCTTACTGGTTTCGATATTCCCCGATTCCCCGATTCCCCGATTTCCCGATTCCCCGATTTTCTGATTCCCCGATTTCCTGATTCCTCGATTCCCAACACTTTTGTATTGGTGTATGGAGCAACGGACATGGCTTGCATCAGAAAAGACATAAATGAATAGACGAGGTCTTTTTCCTTCGAATTAGGAACTTACAATGAACATACAAGTATAAAACAGGCAAGGCATCTACATTCATACATTGTTAACAATTATCATTATAAACACCAAATTCAAAATAGGGTCTTTGCTAATTGCAACAGTCGTCCTATGAAATCGTTTTTGGTCAACGAAAACCTGTACAGTTGTTACTCTTATAGACAAGATAAGTTTCTATGAAATAGTGCAAAAGGCTTCCATCCACTGATATTAACTCGCAGAAATTCGAAAATGACAATTAGAGCTTTCACAACATCATTTGTTCCAACTGCTAAAATATCAAGCCGAATTTATTATAAACCTAGAACTTGCTGATTCAAAAAAAATTTACTCAGTTAAAAAATCATGAAAAATTAAGATAAATTATGGATGAATTTCATCACTAGTTAAAGGTTGGAAAGATAAAGAAAGCGGTGAAGGCGGATGATACGTATGTCAAATATTAAACAGGCAGGAATTTACAGTTACACTTAGAAAAGTGAGTGGATTACACAAGGGCGAAAAGGCGTAAAAACTTCACTGAACTAGCCGACTATCAAATTTGGATAATCTGCGAACAGACAATTTTGGTAAATAATTTCATTCTGTTTGTTAAATACAGGCTGGTGTACGAACAGCAGCTTATATGAGCAGCTTGCCATCACCATGTTCCAGGCTTCAGCATAATGGAGACAACAGGGCCAGACGACAGGGCCAGATGACAGGGCAAAACGACAGGGCCAGACGACAGGGCTAGACGACATGGCCAGACGACAGGGCCAGACCACATGGCCAGACGACAGGGCCAGACGACAGGGCCAAGACAAGTTCTGTTTTCAATAGTTTCTGCTTTCAATGGTCGCTTACCAGTGCAACACTAGGTATCACACTAGCACCAGTCGGCCGTGTAGTTGAACTCTGAAAACAGTGCCTGAAAACACATCGATCATTTACCAAAAGCTCGAAGCAAGTAGAAGCAACACTAATTAAACACAGTGTAATCATTCTTCGTACAAAGAAACTAGAGAAGATACTCGCTGAGCAGCTTAAACTGTGGCTTAGTGAATATAGTTATAATACATATACGCAAAAAGATTCTTTGTATTCGGACCCTTGAAAATCAGACATTCTTCATTGACTAAACGAGGCGTCCGTAAACAATATCAAAATATAGAATACATAAATTTTGCAACCATTTTAGTGAATAGAACTGAAATGCCCTAAGGGAAAGCGTCGAATTTCACGATTATCACGCACCTGTTAAACTGTTATGTTTTGAAAGTTACGGGTTTCAGTAAAATTTCATTATAAATCTATAAAAAGCATTAATAAAGAATGATAAGTATTTACTTGTTCTGAATCGGTTATTCGTTTTTTCTCCTTAGCGGGGGTTAAAACAGGGTCTTCAGAAGTAAATTCTTCATCGAAATTGCTAACATCCTCTGCATGTTTCTGCGAAGAAAAAAACGAGTTTAGTTGATGAAAGTAGTGTGCCAGAAAAATACAAAATTACTGGACAATTTTCGTTCTGATACTTAACTACTTAAAATGAAAACAATCTTTGTTTTAGAAGCACGTGCGATACAGTCGATACTTTTCCAATATGATAACTTTGTTTCTCCCAACCTCAAGAGCTAGAGTATTTTCAAGAATATGCAATGTCCACCGAAGATAAAAAAGCATATTTAATTTCACTAACTTGCAAAATGATATTCGAAATTAACAGGAAAGTAATTCAAGGTGGACGGAGAGCAGGAGCATTGCATGGCTTAAGCTAAAGGCTTACCTTTAGAATAAAACAATAATTCGGATAAACGGTCACAAAAAAGGAAGTCATTGAAAACAGCTTGCTAGGTTAAATGTTAGAATACTTGCCACTTTTGGTTTGAACGGGGGTTTAACACGTCTGTTCAACAGATCGTCCCACCGCAAGTCCTAAAAAACCACAAAGTGTAATTGTTAGGCGTAATATCAAACGATGTTCAGACTTCACAACACAGGCATGCACATGCAAGACTGATGCTGAAAAAGACTGATGCTGAAAAAGACTGATGCTGAAAAAGACTGATGCTGAAAAAGACTGGTAAGTAAGCTAACAACATTTTCTATAGGTCAGGGGGTGTGAATCAAATCTTTCAACAGACTGGAATAAGGCGATAGCACTGCAAGTACAAACCTTGGGAGTTTTATAAAAGAATGTTGTTTCGATACAAAATCACGAGGAAGCAAACCGTAACTAGAGTAAATGTAACTTATTGATAATCTATGTCTCTTTTATTAACAAATCTACGGGGGTAGGGGTACAAAGTTAATATACACAGATTAATAAAACTTCAATCGAGACAGTATATACAAGTCAGCAAAAATTCAAGCCTTCCTTGAAACTTACCCTAAAGAAAGGTTGCTTTTTAATATCTTCTGCATCACGGGGGCTGGAACCTAGTCGCCTGTCTGGGTTCTTTCGTAATAGCTAGGACAAAACAATTCAACTGAACAATACGATGGGTTTTGAAGTGGCTCATATTGTATAAGACCGGCAAAATATCGATGACTGACTATATTAGTTTTTCTGTAGAGCTAAAACGGAGTGACTGACTATGTTGTCAGATAGAACACAAATTACTAGAATTGCAACACGAATGACGAGAATTGCAACACAAATGAAGAAGGGCATGGCAATGCCAGTCATGAACGATTAACAACACTAATTATAATATATTCCCAACAAGCAAATAAAGTGATAATAATAATAAAAAAAATAATAGTAATTTTTTTTAAACATCTTATTTTCATTGAATACATTTTAAATTTACAATTATACGACTCGCTTTTACAGACATCATAATTGGCTTATCTGCATTACAATATTTAAAAGTCAATTAGTTCGGGGCTTAGCCATGGTTTGTTTCGACGACAGAAGATATAGTAGGTGCAGCGGATAGAAATGTTCATGAGTTTCATCAAGATGGATTTAGTTTGATTTGAGTCAAAATTAAGTTGGTGTAGCATGTCAGAGAGAGAGGTAGATGAGGTTCCCAGAATGCCAAGGGCACTCATAGAAAGGTTAACAAAGGTAACACGTTTATAGGCAGGGCTCAGTTCCTTGATAAGGTCGCTATATTTCCTAGCTTTTCGTGTACTGTTTTCGTCGATGTTGCTTTCGAACCCAACAGTAAGCTCTAGCATGTAAAGGATTCGATCTTCAGTTACAAAGACAAGATCTGGTCGATAGGAGTCGCCTGTGATTAAAGAAGGTGATAGAAATGAAGGTAGGTCGGCGTAAAGTGAGCTGTTTCTAGGTGTAGAAAGGGTTTTAGCCAAATATAGAAGTACAGAATCATGTCTCCAGGTATACCTACCATGTTCAAGATAATTCTTGCAGCTAGAGACTATGTGTTGTAATGATTCTGATTGGAGACAGAAAGAGCAGGCAGATGACTGAGTAATTGACCATTTGCAGAGGTTTTTCCAAGTGGCAAGAGTGTTGTTTAGGTATTTGATGGTAAAGTTGTAAATGTTTTTGGTAACTTTTGCTGGACACTAGACCAAAGTTGATTAGTTCCCTTAGAAGCAAATTTTAAGATGCACGAGATAATAAATCCTTGAGATGTAAGAACGTTTTCAATGCGGTTTTCGTGTTCACTTTGGATGGATTTGAGAACTTGTTTGGTGTTGCGATAAACGTCATACTGTATGTTTGTACCAGTGCTAGAGTCTTTCCATAAAGAGCGAATCTCTTGGTTTGGGGACAGTCTTAAAGAGTTGCGGATAACTGTTGGCATTGTAAGAACTTGGTAGATGGAAGAATGAGATTGATGCCAAACTTCGATTTTCGAATGACGAGGCTACTTAGTGAAGCACTTATTGGCAGCTCGAGCCATTGTCTAACAAAGCTTGAAACAACATTGTCTAGATTCTCTGTCACCCATGTCTTGCATAAATCAGCGATGGTAAGGTTCCAGGAAATTTTGGATAGCACATATCTTTGGTATAACATAATTTTGTTCTTTGGATGACACGACAATTTGTCGATACTGGACATTAACGAGTTGACAGTTCTTCGCTATCACCACATCCCTGAGCACATTCAAAACATTATCTGCAGCCTTTATGCTGATTTTAAAACATCTATCATAACCGATACATTTCGTACCCCTTTTATACCGGTAGGTCGCGGTGTCCTTCAGGGTGATTGCCTTAGCCCATTAACCTTCAATCTTTGCTTTAATACTTTCATTCATTACATCTCAGATAATAAATTCAACCAGTTCGGCTTCTATACAAACTCCTTAAACCCTGTCCATTGGTTTCAGTTCGCTGACGATGCGGCAGTGGTTACTGGTCAAGAAAACGAAAATCAAATTCTCTTAAACCACTTCTCTAGATGGTGCTCTTGGGCAAACATGCATATTCGGGTTGACAAGTGCTCAACATTTGGAATTAAAAAATCATCTACTTCATCTGTTATAGTAATAATAATAATAATAATGGAAACTTTTCATTTTCAATTCAATTAAAACTACAATTACAAAATTCACTATTACAAAGGTAATTTGCAACTGGCTAGCCTGGGTTTACAAAAAAAAGACTATTACAAGCACAAACAAAATAATAATAATAATAATAATAATAATAATAATAAAAATAATAAATAATAGATAAAAACAGATGTTAGAACTCACCCGTCGCATTAAGGCAATCGCCTCGTTGGAAAGAAATCTTGGGTACCTAACTTCATCATTAACAATGCTATCGAAAACTTCTTCTTCGTCGTCACCAGGGAATGGAGACTAGAAAAAACATCAGTTTTGTAACAATACACTGAAAACGCCAATAAATGAGAAGAACAAGATAAAATCAGTATTGCAGCTCTTACGTTCAAGTGCGTACAAAGCACACGTATTTACTTGTTCGACATGACCGCCTGACGTTTGAACATGATGCGATCGCAGTTGGATGATAAAGGATTTTCGTGTAATTTTAAAAATCAACCACAACACAAAAAATATAAAACACGGCAGGGAAGGAACATGGGGAAATCTAGCTGACAAAGGTTTATTTCATTAGCATTTACATCTATATGCACGTGCTAACCAAGGAAGCAATAGAAAACGCCTATATGATGATTGTCCAGCATGTTCATGTATAGTTGTCTAGTGACCAACCACAAGACATTTGAAAGTAATTCGAGTAACAAACTGCAAAATACTAACCTCTCCTACCAACATTTCAAAAATCAAAACACCTAGACCCCACCAGTCTACAGCTCGAGTATACGATGTTTCTGTTAAAACCTAAAAGTAATGCGAAGGCAAAGTTAAATCAAGGGGCTTGAAAAATCACAGAGCAACGATTCCCTGTTTTTATGGAATAGTTAAGAAATAGAAATTTCAGGTGTATAACGTTCAATTTCAGATGAAATTTCAGATTTTACATATAGTAATATAGAAATAGAGTTTTACATATAGCAGCTACATAGATATATAGAAATTGATGGGCAATCTTTATAAACCTAAAGAAAGAGAGCAAAGGTCATCCCACGTTGCCAACCTATATATAAACAGGCTTCACAAAAAATGAACTAACCTCTGGTGCCAAGAATTCAGGAGTACCACAGAAAGTCCCTGTTCTTTGGCCATAACCCATACCCTCTTTGCAAAGACCAAAGTCTGCGATTTTAACAAAACCATCACTATCCAGTAGAAGGTTGTCTAACTTCAGGTCCCTGAAAAAACACATTAAAAATTTAGATGTTCAAATCTTTCGTTATCAGCGACAGAACTTTGAATTGCTAAAAAACGGCTCATCACGAGCTTATCACTTGACAAGTTTTAATGGGTATCGCCACACTGGTATTGCAAAAGTCTGTAACATAGTCTTTGCATTAACTTGCAACACGCTTATAACAAAGATTGAGTTTGATACCTGTAAACGATGTCATGATTGTGTAAAAACTGCAACCCTAACACAACGCAGCCAGCATAGAATCTAAAAGAAAGGAAGCATATGACTTACTTTATTTCGGGGAAAGTGATGTGTGTCATGAAAAAGGACCCTAAAGGTTCTTTATCATACAACGTCAATATATAATGATAATTGAAAACTGCATAAACAAAAAATGGCATCAATTCAGTGGAACCATTTTTAAATCAGAATGAAAGAAATAAGCAAAATTCAAACCAGACATTATCAGATAGGGATCTACAACAGTTTTATCCAGTGTAAAAGAGTACATATTAAGTGTAGGTATCACGAATTTGATTTTTCATTTGACAGATAAAAGCAAACACGTACACAGTCCTTGGCTCTGAAAATACGTCGGCATGGATGTGCATCATCAAGTCGCCGCCTGACGCATATTCCATTATGAAACAAACATGTTCCTGTAAAGGACATCTTATACAATCAGAATAGATACAATGTGTGGAGTTGTGCCTTTACAGCAGTATAAGTGCCTTACATGACAAAAATTATGCAGTTGTGTGTGATTTAAATTTATAATAGGGAAACTATGCTCAAACAACGAAACCCTACCAAATAGAACCAGTCCTAAAACGGGTTCACTGCAGAGAGTTCAGTGCCGTACGAGCACAGCTGTTGCCATTTTGGTGTGCAATACGGAACAGTTCTAAATTGCTGATCAATTAGTTACAACACTCCCTAGAAAAATGGTGAAATTCAATTACCAGTAGGGGGTAATCGCAAATTGCATAGATACTAAGAACAAAAGATACTAGAGAACAATCCATTTTGTAAAAGGTTGGTTTTTATGACTCCATTCCTTGCAAACAAATTCCAGTTTAGTCTTTATAATAGACTAATTTAAGCAAATAGAGTCATAAATAAAGCAGTGTAAATCGCAAGAGATACTCACTGTTGTTTGAAAGCATGCAAATAAATTCACCAAAAATGGATGCCTCGATGAGTTTGCGATTTCGAATATTCTTTTCTCAGACATCAAGCTACAAAATAAAGAGAATTTCTATTGAAAAACCAAATGAAGAACTGATGCCATTATATCTTTGGAAGCATTTTGCGTATGATTAACGAAAGGTAAGTCTGCTATCAAATTTTGTTATCAACAATAACAATCATAGGATTTAGACCTCTACTTTCGAGTAAAAATAGAGAAGGACAACATAATCTCAAACCTTTCGACTTCATCTCTTGAAATAATATCTCCCTTCTTTAAAGCTTTAATTGCAAAATGTTCCTTCGAATTTTTGTATTCCGCAAGCAGTACCTAAATGTAACAAAAGATGAGTTATGTGTTAGAACCTCAGACTTTTGTTTCAAATACGAAATTCAAAGTGATATATCTAGAGTACGGATGATAAATCATATAAATACTTTCGAAAGATAGATGAAAAATAGAGAGAACAAAACACAAATGCAATGCAAATAAAATGTTGGATAGAGCTCTGAATATGGACAGTATTATAAAAACCAGCAGCTAAAGCGAGTTGTTGGTATCATATCTCCATAGACGCAGACAAAGCAAAATAATTAGTGACAAAAAAACAAGGAATGAAACACACCTTTCCGAAATGACCCCTTCCAAGAACACTTATACATCTGAAGTCGTTCATCGACATCTGGTGTTTACTTTTGCGCCTAAAAACAAACCTCGTTGTTGATAGAAGGAACTAATTTAATTAGAGATGACAGTTTCAAGAAGCAAATACCTATTTTGTTAACATAGACAAAAATATACATGTATCTAACGCTGGAAGAAGCAACACTCTTTTCATGGAAAACTAGACGGTCTTCACAACCGAGATAAACAAGAGTTCATCTGATGAAAATGGCTCATGGGGCTACGCTTTCCCCCAGCTTCGGTCACACGTAAATTTCAAGCAAATGCGTTTGGGAATGGAGAAATATTGCAAAAAAGATCGAGTTTTATTGCTATGTATGGGGACAAGCTCAGACCTTGAATGGTGTATATATCCAAAAGGCATAATTGCAAGAACTGACGATTTGTCATGGTAACTTAGATGAATCCAAGCGTACTGGATACTCTATTGTCACTAATAAAAGGGGAAAGGTAATGGAAGGGGGTGTTCATTTCGGCCAATTTTCAACAGAAGGGGGTGCTAATAGAAGGGGGTATTTATGTCGACCAGTTTTCAATAGAAGGGGGTGTTCAGGTTGTTGCTAAGAGAAGGGGGTGTTCAGGTTGGCCAATTTTCAATAAACTGTCAGCAAATTTCAATAGCAAAGGGGAGCTAATAAAAGGAGTGGATGTCGATAAATCTTTTAATTAAAAGGCAATGGAACTAGTAGGATGGTGACACTGGTAACTTGATAATGTATAGATGGTAAGATATAAAGATAGACAAACATAACAAGGGGAATTATGACAATTAAAAAATAACTACATAACATAACAAGGGGAATTATTGACAAGTGAAAATTGCGTGTTCTGGTCATGACAGATTTGTAAAATTTAATAGAATGATAATAAGCGACGGGGGGAGGGCAAATTCTTCTGAAATTAATACACGGGGGGGGGGGCGTTTATTAGAGACACCAGAGTAGGTTGATTATCTTTAAAATCTTACTTTTCCTTTTTGTTTGTATCTGGTTTTAATCGTCGATCATTTTTCGGAGATGACTTTCTATTTGCATGTGCGGGCACAGGCGGTGGTAGCAACGTCGGTGTGTCTGGCTGCGTTGCATTCACATTGTTCGAATTATCTGACTGCTTTTCTACAGGTGTTCTAAAAGTCTGTAAGTCGAAAAAGTTAACTAAAACTAATGTAGCGAGTAAGACTAGAAATAACTGAGTCAAGCTTAAGCTCCATTTCCAATGACATAAAACCCAGCAATGTCATTTTTCTAGATATTTTTAAAACTAGAGATCTGTGAATTGTCGTACATTGAAGCAATTTGTTCAACTACAAAGTTATCCACTTTTCCGATTAGGAAAGATTAGGTAGGATTAGGAAATAAATGTGCACAGAAAGTGCCTATAAAATCATAATATTTCTTTAATTCTAAAAATATTATTTTCCAAATACTTTCACAATAGTCATCCTTGCATGGTTTGTATGTTTCGGAAACAATCATTTGGAAACATCAATAAAAGCTAGCTAGCGCAGAAATAAAACGCCCAACCCAATCTTGTAGTGCTTGAGATTTTGCCAAAACGCATTTTTAAACCCAGTTATAAAAAGACAAGCTAAAAATGTAGTCTGTCTTGAGTTATAACAGCAAGAGATAAATAACCCTGAAAATGGCAATTATTAGTAGTGAAAACAAAAACCAAATCTAGATCAATCTATGCATTTTGTTATAAACGGTTCTTATACATTTTAATATTAACTTTCTTCCGGCAATATCTTTTTCTCAATTAACAGCTTCCCTGACAGAAAACTGAAGCAATAGAAATAAAATAACTCATCACTGATTTGGCAAATCGTTAAAGGAAAAAATCAGAGTCACTATCACTGCGACAGCCTATCACCATCATTCTTATTGGCTGACATTTGACAACGTTTTTGACGCAGAAAACAGTAAATAACTTTCAACTTTGTCAAAAATCAAAAGTATCACAGTTACCGGTATTTCAAGTGAGTTTGGTCTCAAGTCCGGTCGCGGGGATACATTGCCAGGTATTTTTTCCTGATTTTCATCCACATGCAGCGATTTACGAATTGATTTGGGCGAAAATGAGCCTGATCCAAACGATTCCGACTCAGAACTTCGTGGAAGTGAGCTTGTCAGCGTCACTTCCTTTGTCCTGAAAACGAAAAGATGAAATGACATCTCGATCACATATGAAACAAAGCCATTCGTTAAAAAATCGAACGTTTTAAAAACCAAATTTTTCTCAAACCAATAAGAGGCATTTTTGGCAAATGATCAAACTTTGTGATCTCGATTTGGCGTTCCTTAAAAAAAAAAATTAAGCAAGACTCCTCGCTGAATGGAGAATACTTAACGAAATGTACGGTGGTACAGATAACCTATATCTGTAAGAAAATAGACGATACATATTGTAGCTAGGGATCAACGTTTCCCTTCTCGAAACACTGGTCACTGACATCCTTGCCTTTTAAGGAGTATTACTTACGTTGTGTCGATTGCAGATGTCGTATTCAAAGTGTTGTTCGGGCTGAAAGTTGTCGCTGCGCAGGTGGGTGGGGCAGCTCTTTTTAGAAGCCGGGCCCATGTGGCGATGTTTGTATTCATTTGCCCAGCGCGAAGGAAATGTTTTCCTGCAAATAACAAATCACTTTAAATGATTTTTCACTGATTTATCGTTAAAGAAGAAAAACGAGATTTAAATTGTAAGCTAAAACAAAAATGATTGCTCACGAAACCTTGCAACTGTAAGTTGTACAAAAAGCAACTCACCTTTAGCTTTGGGGAATAACTGTTTCTGGCGCTGAAGTTTTGGTCGCCGGTTGACCATTGGATTATAAAAAGTCGCCTACGAAAAGAAAGAAGTTCCTTTAAGACCTTTCCATGTGGTTATATCGGACAGTCACTGGGCTTATAATGAAATGGATACAATGAAAATCAGTTCCCTGACATGCCAGAACAACAATTTACTACCAATTGTATATATCAATTGCTACAGCTGATTTGTTTATTAGACAAATGAGTCAGAATAGAATTGAAATTGGCAACGACGTTGATTAGGCCATTCCGGTGCTTGAAATCATCTTAAACTCTAGCTCCAGTTGGACACATAATAAGCAAAACAAATCGAAGACTGCTTACATCTTTTAACTTTTCCCAGATCTGCAGTGGCAGCTCAAAGCAACGGTTATCAATTAACATCTTTATACAGTTTCAAATATTTCGATCAAGCCAAATTACAAATAATCGCACTCGAACAATGTTGAATTCTACCAAAGACCGCGAGAGGCACACAACACGTGAAACCCGCTAGACAACAATAGCTGGTCTTTACTCTCTCTTTACTCTCACCTGTTGGTTTCATTGTGAGATCGAAGATTGAGATTCAAACAAAATTAAACGGTAGAAGCAACCCCCACTAGGACATCCATCTTCAGGAGAAGGGATGCTGTGGACTTAAGTAGAAACATTGGGCACAGATAACGTAAACAACAGAGCGAGGGGAAAAATTAAACGTTTAGTTGTTTCTGAAACAGTTAGGGGGGGGGGGGGGGGGGGGGCTTATTGAACGAGGCTGGTCTATCTTTAGCGAAAAAGATGTATTCGATGGGTGGAAGATTCACTCTGAATTCATAAGCATCAAGATCGATCCTTCTGAATCTGTCTTTTAATTGTGAACTGCCGAAAGAACCTACAACCTAATCATTTACCACCTTATGATGTATTCATGAACTACTTATAACACGTTGAAACAGGTTACTAATAGCACGTTCTAATAGCCCCTATTCTCTAGTCGCGACGTTGCTATCGGTGTTATAAATAACATTTCAAACATCTCATTGCTTTCACGCTCGACAGTGCAAATGAATACGTCACATGATGGTGGACAATTTATAAACAAACTGCAGTAAGGCTGCTCTTCGTATACAGAGGGATGCTAATGCCATCATTAATCATTGTGGAATGTTAGAAAAGTTTAAACATGGGAAGTAAAACCAACCTTAGCAGGCCCTTTGAATGCAATAGTTGCATCACAGCAAGTCGTCAACTTATGAATAGACAAACCCTCTTTTCTGACCTGCTTTGCCGTGCTATTGGCACTATCTAACTTCCGTAGAGATTTAGTTCTGCTTCGTGATACAATCACTCTTATACTCTTCTTTCGTAGAAAAGTCCTTCCCCCTTTGGCATCTTGAGTTCTATTTGCAGTTTTCGGAATCAAACCGTTTCTGACCAGAAATGACTCAACGTTCCTGGATCCCATTTTACCAACAGGAGCTATTTTTTCGCCTTTCTCATTTTTCACAATGACAGTTTCTTTATCATTTTTCCTCCTCTCGTTGCTATTTTTCCCTTCCTCGCGGCCGCGCAATTCACCAGCATTGTTTTCTTTTGCTACTGAATCTTTCCCAATAGTCGAAATGGTATTAGCTTTCAAACCGACCGATGGGTTATTTTCCTTTCCCCTACCCTTGCTTCTTCCGCAATTTTGATTTCGCCTGTACTTGTTTTTTACCTTCTCGTCTAGTTCTGACACATACTTGATATGCCTCGTTGGTACACGCTTTGACTTTTGCTTTACTAGAGTACTTCCACCCGACCTTTTCGTATTTACCTTCCCAAAATCTTTTTCTTTGCTGCATGGATCTTTGTCCTGGCAGTTTAAAGTTTTATTTTTGTCATTTAATTCTTTGTCTTCTAAAGTTCCTTTCTGCTCAATTACAGACGACAGGCCCGTGGAGCCTCTATCACATACTCCAATATTGCCATTTGAAGCCGAACTCTGCCCAGGATGTTTAGAAGTAGAAGTACCCTTGCTCTCGACTGTTACTGGACAATGCCTTAATTTGGCCTCATTTTCAACACAGTTTGCAATTTCTTTATTCAGACCATTATCGCCACAGTGGCTGGACCCGCCTGATTTATCAACTGGCTTTAGACCCTCCTCACCATTTACGCATTCTTTTGAATCCGAAGGATGAACTTTTCGAAGCACGCCCTTCTTCGCATCTAACCGACCTCTGCTAAATGGATTGCAAGAAACGGGGGCACTATGCGAATCATGCTTACGGCGTGCCCCTGATTTTTTGTCGAAATTATCCTGAAGTGAGAAGAGTTTCCGATTCAGTTGCCCGTGTGGTTTACTAGAAGTTGTCAAAAGTGTAGAGACATTATTTCTACAAGCACTGGTGGGCAATCTCGTCCTATCAAGTGATATCATTTTCGCCTCGCTATAAGCTATCTTCCCGAATCTGAAAGGAGGCGGCTTAAAAATTTGAACGTTTTTTAAAGAATGGTCATCAGTTGAGTTCTTGCTTCGGGCAAAGTTCTTTTTCTTCGTGGTACCTGCCATAACACAGGTTTATTCTTGTCAACTGAATGTACTCTTTTTAGATTTGCACATAAAATGCCTATTCTTTGATTTGGTTGTTTCAGAGCATAAAAGTTCAAACTGAATTTGCCTCCTCACGGAAAATCTATCAATAATTTCAGATTAAAAAAGGAAAATCAAACACCATCCGTGTTTAGTTCGCTCAAGTTGCAAAACAATCGCCAAGATCCACAAAGAGCTCGAACTAGGCTTTTAATCAACAGCCAAGGACAGGAACGCTCAAATAAAGAATATGCTTGTTTCGTCAGCTTACTTCAGCAAATGCGTAATAGTCCAGTTTGGGTACAGCGGATACAAATTGTCCGGTAAACATTGACACCCTCCTGCACGGTAATTAAATTCAACGAATAACGAAAACAATGTCAGAGCCATAGTGCAACGCTCAAACTTTACTGTAGAGTTGCTGACTCGATTTCTAGCAGTTCATTAACACAGCAATTGGCTATTCTATCCAAGTAACCTTTTTCCGTTGTGTCCACTTGACATCATTGATTTTGCTTTACAATATTTTACTACTAGCCTTGATTCTAATTGATGCACAGACAAAGCAATGAATATCTTCCGCTTATGAATTATGCATGCCCTTATCTAACCAACAGGACCACTGGCGGCCATTGTTCAAACGTTGCTTACCCATAAGCAACTATCCAACGAGAAAACCATTGATTGTCTCAATCCGTTTTACCTGCTTAAGCACAACTGGTATACTTTACTATCGAGCACCCGTGAGGAATTGATCCAAAACAAAAAACACAACAGCCTATCACTTTTACCGTCTTTTTATACAGTAACTTTGTAAGTGAGATGATATTAGCAGCATGATGAGTTCACAGCATTACAAAGATCAAGGCATCCTTCCATTATAACAAAGTAGATAATGAGCATCTAAGATTGGACATTTGATCGGGTAAAAGACTGGATGTACACGCCTATTCATTTTTCACTTGCGTATGATGCGTGTTCAATGCTTTTAAGTCTGCCGAATATTACAGTTTCGAACAAACAAGATTCTACTTCGAGGCTTATATGTCCACTAAGATCCGAAACATGTCCAGAAATCTGATTGGTTTAACCTCCCAATTGGATACCTCTACGGCGCCAGTGAACTTTAGACAAATGGCAATCCAATAATGTTCACAAAGTCTACCAGCTGATCGAGAAGGCACTAATATACTAACGTACAAATCTCTACAGAAAAATGTAAGATAACACTTTTGTGAGTGTGCAGTGCAGTGAGCAACAAAGAAGAGACTTGGTAGTCGAAGCAATATTGTTCACATTTAAATAAATTTAAAACAGTAGACCAAAAAGGTGGAGTCTGACCGACTGTTTTAAGACAGTTCGGGAAAAGCACTCTCTTCTAAAATCGAGCTGTTTGTTTATTGTGTAAGGCCCTGAAACTCCATCATCACTTTCCTATAAACAACAACTTAGGACACGGCAGCAGCACTAACATCAAAATGCTACATGAGCCATGAAAGAAGACCTGTGAAAATAATATTAAAAAAAGCCTCACCTCCGCTCGTAACATGCCCGTTGGCTCTAACGGTACACAGACTTCATGTCTCTGATTATCGAGAAACTCTTCTAACTTCAAAAAAACAATTCCACATAAGGATCTGTAGTCTTTGTAGTAGACTCCAATTTCAAGTTCCCTAGACTGAAAATAAAAAATTCATAAAAAAAGTACAATACAAGGAGTCTGAAATAAAAACAATACATTCTTCTTGAATATCTGGTTAACATTTTAATCAAAACAGTGAAAAGGACAGCGAGAGATATCATGCTTCCGATGAAACTGAAACGTAAAAGGGATATTACGAGCTAGCATTGGTGACGATCAAGCAGTAACGACGATGTTTTGGGAAAGACTTCCCTTACCTTGTCGAGGTCAAGAAAAAACGATTCGCTCCAGCAATGAGACCCTCCTGACTTCCAACTTGTTTGGCCAACATCTGAATTGTCTAGCTTTATAACAGCGCAAATTTCATCTAAAATCGTGATCAATTACCTGATATTGAATACATTCGAAACTATATGACTTTAAAGTATCGTTTCGTGCGTTACTGTATCACTTCCGATTGTTGCAATGCTAATAATGTGTAGCCGGCTCTAAGATTGCAAAAATGAAGGCCGGATGCATTGCATAATTCTGTTGCAAAGTACGCAAAACAGTTAAATCAACTTTTATGCATTAAGATAAGTATACATTTAGATACAATTGGCCAGCCCCTTGAACAAATATCACACAAGCATAATCCTGACAAAATAACTTTGTGTATATATTAAAAAAGGTAGATAAGAATGAGTGTATAGACAAGATCTATTACCAAGTCTCAAATAGCATCTTACTTGAAACTGAGTCATCGTATTTATTTGAGTGGTAGCCAAGGGTTGAGCCCCTTTTACTTAATCTAAATTTGTTGTCAGGACTTCCTGATATTCCATAATTCTTTCGAGGAAGTCGATTTGGAATGTTTTCTAACAGGCTGTCAGCCCCGATCACAGTAATCTGTAAAAAATAGCAAAATATATCAAGGAAAAATTAATACTTTAGAAGGAAATAAGTTATAAAGTTGTTCCAAAATTGAAACTTACAAAAATTCTGATAAGGTAAATCCAATATTCAACATTTTGGGTGTGAATAAATTGCTGTGCTTTCTAGGGACAGCATTCCGAAATTTTTAATAAAACATGGTAGTTCATTTTTGGATAAGAAGTTAAATGCCAATGTTTCTGCGAATGTGTAGAAATAAATTGTGGAAGGAGTTAAAAAGAGCTGAAAGTTTATTTCACAGACATAGCTAGTAGTAATTGGCCCATAACATCAAGGGAAGCACTAAAAAGATAAGAGACATCAAATCTAGCCACTGTTTTCATTTGAAGTTTCATCTTGCTAAAACCAAATAAAGTCGGCAAAAGGTAGCTTTACAGGAAAAAATTGTTTTGCAAAACAAACCTCTAATTTCCCGGTTAATGCAGCTGGTTTTTGTAATCTTTGTTGTTCCTTAGAAAGGTGATTGTTCTCCTTGAATATCCCAGCTTCCGCACCTTCCGGAGACAACTCTGCCATCCTTTTTTCTAATGACAAGTGTAGTAAATCCAACTTTTCTCCAGACTCAAAAATTCTCTTTTCTGCCTAAAATAAAACTGATCATTATATACAAGGAAAATAGTTCTGTGAACAATTATTTGGCAATAAAAAATTTGCAAATGGCCTTGGAAAAAGCAAACATTTTACAACTTGACTTGAGCTTTTCGTCTAACACTCTTCAGAGAATAAAATGTCAGAATAAGGACCCAAAAGATCAAGAAAGAGAACATATACCCAGTTGTGGGTCAAAATAGGCCAATTAGAAAATGCCAGCATACGACCAGTATAGTTTTCTGATTAGTACTGCATGCCTATAAATAAATTACCACTGGAGTAGAACTAACTCATTCTGTCTATTAAATAGCAGCCTTTTCGCTTTAATGTAGAATGCTTTTTGATGATGGAAAATGCTTTGATGGAAAAATGTACCTTACCAAAAGCAGGATACAGATTTAAATTTGACGTTTCAATTGCATATTGCCTGACATACGATACATAACCCACAACAAAAAACTTTCCATCAGAGGATGACTAAAGAAAACAACTATTCAAGCAGATGATATTGAACATACCTCTTGTGTGGCTTTTTTATCTTGAACCTTTAACAACTGTGTTCTCATATTCTTAGCACCTTCTGAGACTCTTGTTTCAATATCTATGTGATGACGTATATCTTCTATTCTTTGTTCTAATAGTGATAGCTTACTTGAGTTTTTCTTGTACAAACTATCATCCCCATTTTTTCCACACTGTGATTCAAATGCTAAAATTTGTTGCTGCTCTCTCAAAATTGACATCTTTATTCCATCAATTTTCACTTTAGAATCCTCAAGCATTTGGAGCGTCTCTGCCATCAACTTCTTATTCTTGTCACCTTTCGATAGCATTTGGAGCATGTTTTCAGCTCCCTGTTTGACTTTAGTTTCAATATTTAACTGCTTCTCTAATGAGGCTATTCTGCTATTTGACACCTCTGCACTTAGATTCCCATCTTGTGAATGGGGAGGTAGAGGAGAAGATGTAGCATCTGGCACATCTCTGTCACCTAGAGCATAATCCCAAGGTTGCAGTTATCCTCAGACAAAAAAGGAATATCACTATCATAATTTAGATTCCAGTGCAAATACCATTTGGGGAAAGAATAAAACATTGAAAAAATAGATTTTAAGGACAAACAAGCTACTTTACTGCCACACAAGGTTTTTTAAAGTAAAAAAAGTAATGAAATTCTTAATATAATTCCATTCTGATTCCAAGATTTTAACAAAGATATTAAACAATCTAAAATACAAGATACTATATATACTTGACAAAAGACACATATATATATAGCTAATTGAGATAAATGAAAAATTAGCGGAAGCAAACTCAGATAAGGGGGAGTTTTCAAAACCATCATCCGCCACAAAATTAAACATCAAAAAAATGTTGAAGCTGATATAACTAGAAACAGGATGACCCTTTAGATATATACTCAGAGACTTTGGCTTCTACTTTGAAGTTTAGCCCTATCTAGACGTTCATTCTTAAATTCCATTTGACAAGTTTGCTCAAAGGTCTCTTAAGCTACCACTGATAAATACATTCATAAGGTGTAGTTTTCTTAGAGTCAAATATACCACTGCTAAAATTTTGGTTTATTTTCAGGTTTTGAATGGTAACATTAAAGAATATCATTCTGAAAGTGACAACATTTTTTTGTCTAGGAATAAAATCTTGAAAACATTTTTGTTTGATAGATTCAATTTAATATAAAAATTGATGTTTCTTAAAATATAATAATGAAATAGAAAACTTTGGCTCCAAAAATGATTGAACAATGAAATTTTAAAACACAAAAACAAACAAATTCAATACAGAGCAACTCCTTATCAGCAAAATCAGCTTCGATATTTGGCCCAGTAAAAGGATAAAAAGGTAATAACAATAATATTCATGCTTTTGGCTAATTCCTGACAGTAAATATTTATAATTTTGTAAGGAATCTTCTGAAGAACCTAGGTGACATCAATTAAGGGCTTGTTATTAATTGAATTGAACTTGCTGCCCATGAACTTGTTGTTTGTATTCAAATATTGTGTATAGCTTTTGAGTTATACCATTTGGAAGTTGCAATGCAATTTGGCAGTTGCAATGAAAGAAAGGGAATTTTATGTTTGTTAAAACAGTTATGTAAACTTGATGTCACAGTGTACTTTAGATGATCTCATCTTGGTATAGGAAATCAAGTGTTTGTAGGTCAATGATTGGCAAAATGGTATTTGGAAATGACAAGAGTTGCATCTCTGTTGGATTCGAATGTAAATATGAAACCCCTTAGTTGTTTTCCAAATCCTGGTATGGCAAACTAATCAGTTTAGGAAAAGAAAGGCAATACTTGAAAGAAAGGCAGCAAGGCCCAGGCAAAGTTAAATTTACAGCACAGCAACAGTTGCACTTCAAATAATCAAATAAAACTGACAGGTTTAAACTGTTGTACCTTATTTTCCCCAGAAAGGAGAGTAATTTTATAAAAGTGTGGTCAGTTGGTTTAGGAGACCAGATGCACCCTCAAACAAAATCAACAATAGTTGGAAAAACTTGCAACCTATACACAACAAACACTGTACTCGTTTTTTTGATTTATAACTTATAGAGTTTGCCTTTACAGGTTATGTAAGGCACAGTGGTTTTTGGATTTTGCTTTAGGACCCTTCAAGTACTTGAAGGAAGCTAAATATTTAAGGAGAACATTGTGACATAGTAGTTTTACCTAGATGATTTGTCTTTGTTCACTTGTAACAAAATCTAATGCCAAATGCAAAAAGTAAATTAATCTAATTTTAATATCTTCTTAAAAATAATAGAATTAAAAATAATTGGCTCCTAATGGAAAAATCAAGATAGGAAAATTTGGAAAAATGGAATAAAAAATAAATCTAATTCAAAGGAAAGTTTACTGAGAGGCTGTAAGAGGATGTCTTGCATCTCACAAAGGACAAATAAACAAACATAACAAAGGATAAACGAACAAACAAATAATGCAAGTGTGGTATGGGCTTTGGTGTGTGGAACAAGATAATTTTTAGTCATATTCCAAATGTGACTATCATGTAACTATTCTATATGTACTGTTCTTGTGTTGCAACCATCTATAGAATGCTATTTTGGCATAATAACCATTTAAATAAACACAAAATTTTTGGACTTATTTGACAAAAGTTGAATTGTGAGTGAAGGCAATTTTACAGCATTTCCTGCATTTACTTCTCAAGAAAAATACGTATTTGTTGATTAAATATGCATATAAATCTATCCACTAAGGCTAAACTCAAATATTGTTTTGAGCAGGCAGCTAATAATGCGGTGAAAAACGTGCAGACAATGGAAATGTTGATAATTGAAGGAAATCAATAGCTGCAGTCAACTAAGTTTT